CAACACCTCCGGACATATATCTCGCTTCTGTGTGCGCTGGGCTGCGGGAGGCGCTTCCCCGGAAAACCAAAACGCCAAACTACAACACAGCAGCAGACTGCGCACACACTCAGCACACACTGCGGGCACAGCAGTAGCATAGCAACACAGCAGCCAGCTTTCCATACAAGTACACAACGGCATGCTGCTGGGCTGCATCACTATACTATAGACGGTTGCTACCAAGCAGCACGGGGTTGCCAGCGCAGCAATCAGTGTACTTCTATTACAGCAGTTCGTACCAGCTACCTGTCTGTGCTTCGGTTAGGAACCGCAGAGCAGCGTCGATCTACCCTCTCCTCCACGCGTGTGCATCAACAGGTACAACCACACATCATAGGCCCACGCATTACATACGGCATCGTCATCACAGCAGTTGCTGCACGTATCTCTCTCTGTCTCTCTCTCTTTGTGCTCGAATTGACGCTGCTTCTCTCGACTGAATCAAACTGCGGCTGGGGCACGGAGCCCCTGCATACCCGGTCTTTACTAAGTCTTTAAGACGGGGGCGGGGGCGGCGTGGAACACCTCCGGACATATATCTCGCTTCTTTGTGCCCTGGGCTGCGGGAGGCGCGTCCCCGGAAAACCAAAACGCCAAACAAACTACTACACAGCAGGAGCCTACACACTCAGTACACACAGCAGGCACAGCAGTGCGTAGCAACACAGCAGGCAACCCATCTGTTGCTGCTGGGCTGCACGTGTGTACTACTGTAAACCACGACATGAGCTAGCTGTACAGTATAGCACGGGGTTGCTAGCGCAGCAACCAGTTGTGTATGACGTTCATAGCAGCTGCCTGTCTGTGCTTCGGTTAGGAACCAACCGTAGAGCAGCGTGGATATACCCTCTCCTCCAAGCGTGTGCATCAACAGGTACAACCACACATCATACGCGCACACATAACATACTGAGTCGTCATCACAGCAGTTGCTGCACGTCGCTCTTACTCTCTGCTCTATCTCTCTGTCTTGTGCTCGAACGAATTTACGCTGTCTCTCAAGCTGCTGCTGGGGCACGGAACAACTAACTGCATACCCCCTAATTACGTAATTTTCATGCGTACGGTGGGGGGGGGTGGGGGTGTACTCATAGTCTTGCATGCCGTAGTCGTTAGACCATTGACCTCACATCCCTATAAAGCCGGGACGGAGCACGCCGGGTTATCACCGGGCCAGGCTCTCACATCACTAAGCGCGAAGCGCCGTGAGGTATTCGGCGAATCGCATGAAGGGTGCGCGGCATCCTGCTAAGGGTGTTCGGCATCTTGTGCTTACTTCCTTGCGTACGGATGACAGCTGCGTATGACTTAATTTATTTTCTGGTGCTTTCACTTCCTGAGACAGTTATAAGCACTGTGTAACTACCTCGAGGATGCTTGACCATTTTAACACAACGTGGTGCGATCATCCCCCTTGCGCCAAGTGAGGGTTCTCCACCCCGCACAACATAATCTACTC